CCCCAAACATAGCTTTCTTCATATAACTGAATTCTTGATCACAACTTTCCATCCACTAAGAAAGTCTAAGATCTTCCCTTCTAATTTTACAAATTATATCTCACTAACCTTGAAAACCCTTCAATGATCACTAAGTAAATTTCTTTTTGTTCTGCATTATAAAACAATGTGGCTTGGGGCGCCTGGGTGGCTCAGTCGGTTAAGTGTCTGACTCTTATTTTGGTTCAGGTCATGATCTCAGGGTTGTGAGATAGAGCCCTGTATCGGGCTCTGTGCTGGGGATGGAACCTGCTTGCCTGCTTAAGATTCTCTCTCTTCCTCTGCCTCTAATCCTCCCTCTTAAAAAAACCCAAACAAAAAAAAACCCACCAAAACTACAATTTGGCTTTTAAAAAACAATTAGATCTGATTGTATACTGAACTTTGACAAATCTATTATTCTCGCAAGCCATGATTCACATCTTTAAAAACTTACCTAAATTGAAATTTTTGAAATAACTATATTAACTTTCCATGTTTAATTATGTTTTCTTTTATTAACAATAAGCTCCTTGAGCACAGATCCTTGCCATGTAGAAACATCACCAGATACCTAGATCAGCTTGAATCCAAATCCTAAAATATGACATCACTCTAGTTTGAATTATATGTGGAATAACCCCAGTCATCTATGCCTCCATGTGGCCATAAAAATCAGCATTGACACCTAATAGGGCAAAAAGACTATACAGGGATTGCAAAGATTGCTTTGTTAACAAATAAGCAAATTATGTAACTTTCCAAAAAAATAACGAAACTATTAGGAGAGCAGGTACATTCAACACAGGATTCTGTTCTATTTCTCAACACAGACATTTACAGAAACCGTACGGCGGAACAAATTCGATCATTTTTCAAGATACATGTGAACGTGACATACATATATAAAATAGCAACAGCCGATCTTAATTACTAAATAAAAGGTAAACTAAAACTACATACCAGAAATACAATTTTCGATAGCAGATCCAGGTCTTTTAAAACTGGAACATATTCCTTCATTTTCCCACAAAATGAGGTTTATTCTAAAAGACAAAGACTTCCTTTAGTTTTGAGTATGCCACAGTCCTCAGAACATAGACTATTTTATAATCAAATCAAATTCTTTGTTAAAAAACAAAGAAACAAAAACTTCACTTCTAAACACTTTTACTGATGAAATCCCTATATGTCAACTATTTTAACACGGGCTCAAAAAAAAAAATCAAGAAAATGTTCAATGTTCCGTGATTAAAAATCCAGAAATGGGAACCACATGAATGAATAAACTAATCCATAGGAATGTTCTAATTTTGAGATTTCAGTGTAAAATACTACCTTAAGAAACTAATTACACCTTGACCAAACAAATAAAGCATTGTGCTTTCAAAACAGCTTTTCATCATTGAAACACCATCAAAAATTTTGGTGATTTTGATTTTGTAGGGAACTTTATTCTGTTAGTTTGGGCTCATTGAAATAAGTTACGAAAAACAAATATGTCATAATGAATCTTCTCTCACTAATACCTAAAAGATGGTCTAGTGACTGTTCAGTTAATATTCATCTACAGTCACCTTCCATTAACATATCTAAAGTCCTCAAGAATTCTCAATGGGCTCTCTAAATCTGTATTACATTAGCAATTACAGATCAATTCAATATTAAAACAAGTATTTGGATCATTGTAAGAATTTTGAAGGCTTAAGATAGCATCATCTGTGGAACACTACAAGTTCTTAGAAAAGTATTACTGTTAAAGAAAACATTAAGTTGGTTTATTTCACATATTTTACAAGAGTGCATACAGGTTCATAACAAACACTGACAAAGCACCTACCATGTATCAGGTAGGGAAACATAACAGTGATAAAAACCTCAGTTGCTGCCCTCTGGGAGTGGAGTCTCAAATAAAGAGCCTAACAACTGCAAAACAAATGTGACGAGAGACAATATAAAGGGTACTATGAGGGTACAAAAGCACCATGAGAATGCACATAAGGATGGAAAACTTTAAGGAAAGCTACGAGGAAACATAAAATAAACTCACTAACTATACCATAAAAACAGTATTTGTTCTCAGTATCCTCTAAATGTCATTTCTGTGTAGTAAAATATTCCACTGTACAAATACCTAACTAGAGTCAAAAATATATTAAATTTAAGAAATCACTTGTAAGGTCCAATAAAAAGTCTCAGAATTATTTTATTGTTATGTGTGACTTAAAAATTATAATTCTACTTGAATAAAGAGACCCAAGAGAGAAAACTAAAAAATAAAGCAAAAGAAAAAAACAAGAAAAATCGGGGGGAAAAGGAAAAAGGACAGCAAAAAATATAAGTGCAGTAAGAACAAAGCTTTCTGATGGACAACTGTACAAAGACTAAAGTCTTAAATGTATAATCCTTTTGGCCTTCTATTTCCATTTCTAGGAATTTATTCCAAATAATCAGGAATGTACAGAATGCCTAGGTATTTTAGCCACAGATGACAGTTCTCAGGCAAAATCTTTTGTGAAACATGCACAAAGATACCAAACATTAGATTGCTATTATAGAAAAATTAAGGTTATCAGATTATATAAAGTATGGTACATCTATCCTACAGAACACTATGCAACCATGAAAAATGCTCTATGGGCAAAATGTTTCCCATGTTCCCAGTATTTTCCATAAAGAAGAAAACATGAGTGACAAAATGAGCACAGCTAAAATGACCTTTACCTTATAAAACAAAGCTGATGAAAACGAGAAACCCCTCTGCATTATATGTAACTACAGTATAAACTGTAATTACCTTTGGGTGGAAGGAATACGAGATATTTTTGTTTTCTTTTTTTGGCTTTTTAGTAATTTCCCAATGTCCACTGACATGCATTATTTGGATCAGATAGTAACTTTTAAGTTGGGTAGTGGAATTATAGGTGATTACCCCCTGGACAGTTCAGCAGTGTTGTATTGTTTTACTATTTTATTTAGAAAAAATAAATCACTTCTCTTTTAAACTTTTACTGACATATCTTTTCTACACACCAAAATTTTTCAGTAAGGAAGAAATCATGAAAATGTTATTATTCTGTGATAAAAATATTAAATATTTAAAAATTCAGAAATGGTAACTACATGAATGGATAAATTCATAAGAATGTGCTAAATTTGAGATTTCATTCTACAAGATCACATCAGGAAGCTAATTATACAGATTCATTTGAACCCCTGGCCAAACAAAGCTTCTTTCAATAACTGTTCTTCCATTTGTGCTATTTATGGCTCTATTGGTACACAGCACTAGTCCATAAAAACTTTTCCAGTCTACCCAATTCTAAAGATTTTTACAGAAATAACTCACCTCAGTAATACTTAGGATATGTCACTGAAAGTCTTGTTTTCTTCAGACCAACTGCCAAAAAAAACCCAAGAAGTTATTAAATTACACAATCGTTTCTAGTCTGGAGACCCATCAATACAGCAATAGGGTTCAAAAGAGAGGTATTAGGAGCATAATTTTAAGCAGCTATCCAGACCAGTGTGCCTAGGTCACTCAAAAATACCTACATTCCCCTTTCTTAAGTAATTTTGAGAAAAATCACTACTATGAAAGAAAATTTCAGTTAGGTATTATTCTTTTTGAGTAAATTTAGTCAACGTGGATTTTCGACGGTATTTCACATTTTTTTATTTCATTCTTTAAAACAACTTGGCAATTCAAATTCCATTTCCACCATTTCAGATGTGTGATGTTTTTTGGTTTTTTTTTTTGACAGCACAAAGGTTCTGCTGAAGTAACAAAATCAATGGCTGCCCCGAACAAAGTTCCTATCGGGGAGGTCCTCTTATTTAAGGTGTTTTCAGTCCCTACAAAACCACTACTATTTCCTTTCAGAGTAGCATCAGCCCCGTGCGGAAAGGCACAGCCCCCTATCTAAGGTTAGAGTAGCAGAGTCTGGGCTGGCCAGTGAACTCCCCCACCCTGCAGCTTTCTGCAGGTTCCTCAACGCTTAATCGTGTTGAGGAGCACGTGGAAATCTCTCTCCCCACGCAGATGGGTCTAAGCACCTTGCCTTTCCCCGTGTTAATTAAGGAGGCGCCCACAGCGGGTGGACGATATGACAAGTTCCCGAAACGCACTTCTAAAGGGAAGAAGAACTGATCGGAGAGGAGACTCCACAAAATCTCTGGAGAGGCATGCAAAAGACCCGCCCAGAGAAAGAGACCTGCACATCTCCTCCGCCCCTTTCTCTCTCGCGGCGGGAGAGGAAGCCTCGCCCCTTTCAACCCGCCCCCCCGCTCCCCACCCCGCCGCAGGGAGAGCTTACTTTGCCATGGCCGCCGTGCGGCCCTCCACTTCCGGTGCCGGTGCCGCTAAAGCTGCGCCATCCCCCAGTCACTCGGACAACCACAGCTTCCAACCGACCTTTTTGACAAGTCCGCGACTCCTCCGACCTTCACTAGGTGCTGTCCTGGAGTGAATGGCGGATAGGTGCCGCACTAAAATGAATCTACGGGATAAAGCCTCGGCTCTCCTCTCGCCAGAAACATAAAAAAGCGATAGAGCTACGACCACCACCGCTCAGACAAAATGGCGCCGAGAAACCGGTTTAGCGCAGGCGCCTTGGAAAGACCCTGCCCCGCCCCCGTGCAAATCCTGGCTGCAGCTCCGGGTTCGGTTTCCATGGGACACTTCGCCGCCAATCCTCGTGCCGAACTGCTCTTCCTGACCCCTCAATTTACCAATCAGTGCTCAGTCAAGCACATCCGGAGTCGCCTCAACCAATCATTTTTCAGGACCTGATTACTCAATACCCGATTCTCCAGTAACGTTAGGCTTCGGAGACAGCCAATCATAAGTGGAAGATGTCCTACCTGCTGTTTTTCGCACCAATCCGTGAAGTTTCATAGCTACATCCAATGAGGACGGCAGGTAGCGAGCTCCAATCCGAAGCTCTTCGGCGTCATGAGCAGCCAATAGGAGTTCGTGTAGAAGCGAGTCTGCTCAACAGCTTGTTATTTGGTGGATTGTGGCAGTAAATCGGGCGAGTGGGGAACCGGGCGCAGGAACTGCTGCCGCGGCCGGGAGTGGTGCTGCCGGGACCGGGGCCCACGGGGGTCAGTGGGGCGGAGGACACGGCTGCTGACAGCGCGCACTTCACCCGCAGTTGGTAGGTGGGGAGAAGGGAAGTGGGGGATACTGAGTGGACGAAGCGGCAGTAGCAGCTCGTGTTGCTGCCCGGGGTCCCGGTGCAGTTGGAAGCTTCGGAGGTGGGGAGGGGGTGCTGGGCAAGCGGTGCGGCGAGCGCAGGCAAAGGGGCAAGTCGTGGAGCAGCGGCAGCAACTGCAGGAACCGCCGCCGCAGCCGCCTCCTCGGCGGCTTCCCCGGGAAAATGGCTGTGGGGCTGGCCGCGCCGCTAAGTTTGCTTCCGCGCGGTGAGGAGCGGGCTGCTTGGGGGAGCCGGTCCCCAACTCCGCGGCGCGTCCTCCCCTGTGGAGTCCGTGGCAGGACCCGAGGGGCCGGGGGCAGGTACCTCTCTGGGCTGTACAAAAAGTTGAGGCGGGCGCGGGGAGGAGGCGGTGGCTGCCGCTGTGCGGCTCCCCTCCCCTCCCACACCCTCTCCGGGCCACCTCCCCTCCTCCTCTCCGCCCCCCCAGCCCCCTCCCTCACGCGGGTCTCCCCACTCCCGCGCCTCCCGGCTGAAGGCCGCGGCCCCTGCCCCATCGGTGAAGAAGCGCTTCTCCTTTCTGACATGGTGCAGAGCGGAGGAAGGAGAGCAATGGCGCCGTGACACTCCGCTGCCGCCACCGCGGGCCCGGGGCGGGCCGAGGGGGCCGAGCGGCGGAGGCGGGGCGCGGGCCGAAGTCGGGGTATCTGGGGGGCGGCTGAGCGAAAGCTCGGCGACCCCGCCTGCGGGGGACCTGGGGAAGCCCAAACGGCGCCCTGCCCTTTTCCAGAGCGCTCGGTCCTGGGGCTCCGAGTTGAGCATTTCGGGTCAAAGTGGCGAGCAAGGCGGGGGCGCGGTGGGCCGCTGGCGAACTCCGGGGAGGAACGGGCTGCCCTTTGGCGCCCGAGGGGCTCTCGCTGCTTCCTCAGCTCCTGCGTCCTGGTTGCCCTCCGGGGGATCTTATCCCTTCGCTGGTGAGGGTTTAGCCTCTCCCCGCTGGCGTTTGTTTACTTTCTTTCCTTGGGTCGCTCCCCTCTGTTGACTGATTCTGTGCCTGTCTTTCCCCTCCCCATGGTTTTAGCGACGGAGAAGATAGCTCGTTGAGCTGGAACCCCACAGATCACCAATAAAAATGAAGGTAAGTGGAGTCAGCGCTGCTCTGAACCTCGTGCCCTGGACACTGCTTGTCGTGAGGCTGGTGCTGTGGAATGTCATATTTTTTTCCTACTCAGAATTGATTCCTCTACTAAGCAGCGCTTTCTGAAAATGAGGACGTGTTGAAAGGGTGAGAAATGATCATTGTGTCTAACGCAGTCAGTCCGGCCCCTCTCTGAAGCAGTTAGCACTTTGGAAAGGCTGGTGCAGCCTTTCCATTGTTGTCCATTGGGCTAGTATTTTTAACACTTCCTGTGTTGGCAGCAACCTTTGCAGAAGTAAAGCTTTTGTCCTGTTTTGGTTCTTTGGGGGATTTTTTGAAATTTTTTTTCTTCCTCAGTGCCAGTATGATTTTCTAACGAAGGACTATGTGCATTGTGTAAGGGAGAGATCATTTCTTTTGCGAAAAATTCTGTAGCTAAAATATTTGAAGGTGAACTGAAACTAATGTTTTAGTTGTCATTATAGTAAATATTTTAAAACCTACATATAACCTAAAAAGATATATTCTTCTGAAGATAGCTAATAGTGCACACATCGTATGTGATACTTACAGGGAAAGGAAGTTACAGCATTGTGTAGTGCAGTGGCATTGAATATTTCAAGTCAGATATTTATCTTCAATTTGCATTATTTGTAAATGCACTAACTTTAAAAGGTACTTGATTCCTTACTCATTTACTGTTTCAGTGTATTAAACTCTGAAATACACCATTTCTTTCTCTTCCTATCTCCTGGAAATGACACATTACCTTCTTTAATATTACTTGGGAAAACTTACTGGAAAAGGAAAAATCATTTTCTACTTAAAAGTGTTATTTCTGAAGTGTACACTGTTACCTTTGCACTTAGCAATATTGAATCAAGCCTATATGAATACATTTAACTTTAGAAGAAAAGGTAAAATGACAGACTTAGAATAACAATCATTCTGTTACTTCAAGATTAAAATGAATGGTAGAATGAAATTTCCCACATCTTTCAATGTATCATTCTGATTATGGCCATTTGTTAAAAGTAGATGTTTTTTAGTAAAGCTTATTTTTTTAATATACCAGGAAGATTAGTGTGATATACTAGGTACAGCACCAAGTTTTGAGCCATTAGTTTGTATCTCTGCATTTATCAGCTGAATTTAGACTTAGATTTTTTTATTTTTTATTTTTTCTTATTAAAGATTTTATTTATCTGACAGAGAGATAGAGAGCACAAGCAGGGGGAGCGGCAGGCAGAGGGAGAGGGAGAAGCAGGCTCTCCATTGAGCAGGGAGCCTGATGTGGGACTCGATCCCAGGATCCTGGGATCATGACCTCAGCCAAAGGCAGTGCTTAACCGACTGAGCCACCCAGGCGCCCCAAGACTTAAATTTTTTTTAAATGTAGCTTTTAGCCATTGGTTCCCCCAAATAATGCTTTCGTTATCGAAAGGATTGGCTTCATTTTTTTAAAAAAAATTTTATTTATTTATTCGACAGAGAGAGAGACAGCGAGAGAGGGAACAGAAGCAGGGGGAGTGGGAGAGGGAGAAGCAGGCTTCCCGCGGAGCAGGGAGCCCGATGTGGGGCTCGATCCCAGGACCCTGGGATCATGACCTGAGCCGAAGGCAGACGCTTAATGACTGAGCCACCCAGGCGTCCCTTGGCTTCATTTCTTAGTCTGTGCAGTTATTCTGTATCCAAAAAGATACTGCTTTAATGTAGCTATATTAATAAACATTTAACTATGTATTATTAGCATTAATCTTAATAGCATTATTTCTTCTAATTTGAAGACAAAATTTTCAGACCATAATTAAATAACTTAAAGTTCTATGAGATACTTACTCTGAATATACCTTTTCTGATTTTGGAGGTTTTTTTTTTTTTTTAACTTTGTAATTTATTATTATTTTTAAAGTAAGCTCTATGCCCACCATGGGGCTTGAACCCACCACCCAGAAATCAAGAGTCGCATGCTCTACCGACTGAGCCAGCCAGGTGCCCCTGTTTTGTTTTTTTTTTAAATGTGTTCATTTCTTAAATAAATTATAGAATTGTTGAAACATTTTGTATCTGGAGGAAAAAACATTATCATATGTCTTTACCGATACTTCTCAGTTAAAACTTAAAATGTTTTCTGTTGTCAGGATGTAGTTTATATAGTAAAGGAATGTAATTGCTTGCTTTAGGGGTATTTTCCAAATTATTAATGACATTAGTAAAAAATAATATTAATGTTTTTACTACTTTAAATATAGAAACTTTTAATGAGGCTTGAGGTTGGAGTAGGGGAGAATAGTAGTGACATTCACATTTTATGTTCTTTCATCAGGCGGCGGATGAGCCTGCCTATCTGACAGTGGGAACTGATGTCAGTGCCAAGTACCGAGGTGCCTTTTGTGAGGCAAAAATTAAGACTGTGAAAAGGCTGGTAAAAGTAAAGGTAATTTTTTTTTTTTTTTAATGCAACCCGGATTGAAGAGAATTGGGGAGGGGAACACTGCAAATTAACATTTTATTGAATCATTATTATGTGAAAGCACTGTTATATACAAAACTGTTGGAAAAGCACATTAAGAATTAAGAAATAACTCAAAATGAGAAGTTATTCCAAAATGCTTCTCTGAAAATACCATGTTTATGAGACTTCCTTTTATTTGGCTCTCTGCTGTTGTGGCATGCTTACTTAGGCTATGATCTGTTTTCTTCCCTTTCATAATGTTCAGGTAGAGACGATTTCAAGTGATTATTAAAAATAATATAGTAGAAATTGTTTTTAAGACGGTGTTAGAAAATGATTTAAGAAATTTATTTTTTTAAAGATTTTATTTATTTATGTGACGGAGAGAGACACAGCGAGAGTGGGAACACAAGCAGGGGGAGTAGGAGAGGGAGAAGCAGGCTTCCTGCAGAGCAGGGAGCCCGATGCGGGGCTTGCCCCATGACCCTGGGATCATGACCTGAGCTGAAGGCAGACGCTTAACGACTGAGCCGCCCAGGCACCCAAGAATTTTATTTTTAAGATGCTTTTATGACCAGAAAAAAGGTCACCACATTATTCCTGTATACTTGGAAATACAGAAAAGTACCAAAGGATTAATACCCATAGCTTACCTCTCAGAAACTACTATTAACATTTTTGTGTTTCCATCCTGTAGTTTTCCTATATAAATATTTTTAATAATCTTACTAAAATTACAAGTGTAATCCGTATTTTATTATAAACATCTTTAACATTACAGAGCTGTATAATAAAGTTCATGAATGTCCTCTTTGTGATACCACTCCAGAAAGATTCGATATGGTCTGTCAGATACTATGCAGTGCCTACCATAACAATATTGTTGTTGTTGTTATTGGATCGTGTTGTACTTTCAGTTTTGCAATTTGCTTTTCACTTCCATATCTGATCTTTTCCTACAAGAATTAAGCACCATAAAAGGAGGAAATGTTAGACTTGTTCTATCCCCAACACCTAAAGTAGTGCTCAATACATAGTAGGCACTCAGAATATGTAGAATGAGTAAGTGACCTGGAACAGTTATTCTCAAAGTGTGCCCTGGACCAGCAGCATCAGCCTTATCTGGGAACTTGTTGGAAGTGCAGATTCTCAGGCCCAGACCCCAGACCTACTGAGTCAGAAACTCTGTGAGTAGGGTCCAGTGATTTTATTTTAACAAGCCCTTCAAGTGTTTCTGCTACATGTTGAAGTATGAGAACCATTGAACTAGAAGAATATGATTTGTGTGGCAGATAAATAGATTTATCTGTGATTATTACAAGATTTCTGTTTAAATTTTGATCTGATGAAATTTTTCTTCAGGTATTGTTACAGTATCATTTGACATTTCTTTGTTTCATTTGGCCATTTTACTATGTCAGCTGTATGGGATTTGATTACTAAATATTTACTTGGATTCCTTTGAGAATTTAAACTTTTTGTTAATATTGTGGCTCTTGATATATTTATTTAAAATCAGTACAGCGATTGGGGAGGTCTTATACATTATATGGAATTTCAATTTTCATATTTCGGTACTTGCTGTATGTGAATGATTGCACTGTGTATTTGGGAGGATTTGTAGTAAAAAGGAGTACTTACTTGTAACTGACCTACATATCTTGATTATTTAGGTTCACTTTATAAAGGACCAACAGTGTTCTGGTTTTAATTTGTTTACCTTGTATGTGGGCAAGAAAAGTTTGATACTGTTTTTTTTATATACTTTGTGACAGAACCTTTTATAACTTGTTGATAAGAAACAATGAAGGCAGTTTTAAACTTTTGCAATAATCACTACAAATTATAAATCTTGTATAGTTCATTAATTCAGCAAACATTTATGAAGTGCCTGTAATATGCATTGACACTTGCTGACTGCTGGTGTAATGATGAAGGAGGATTCTAGCCCTCAAGGAGCTCACAGTTAATGAGAGACAGTAAACATAAGTATAACACAGTGTAATAAGTATTAAAACAAGTAAGCACAGGATGCTAAGAACACATAAAGACTTCATAAACATGTTGTTTTAAAAGTAATGTGCAAATTATTGTGCAAAAAATGTTTTCCAGGTACTCCTGAAACAGGATAATACTACACAATTGGTGCAAGATGACCAAGTAAAGGGTCCTTTAAGAGTACGTATGTTTTGCAGTTTAAAATCTGTAATGATAAATCACAAATACATATGGTAAATTACTGAATTTTACGTTTGTAGGTAGTTTTAAAATTTATAAGAATGTTAAATACAAATGAAGTGTTATAGAGTTAGTATAAACTATGTTACACTGGCTGTATCCTTAGTTTAGAAAGATAAATCATCTTACAGAGGGTAATTTAGTACATATAAACATGAGTTTTCAGCCACCTTTTGTTTTGAACTCTTGGATTAAATACCTCATTTTTTTTTTTTTTAACATTGTCGTCAGAGGTATTAAGCCTGCTAAGGAATATACTAGTATCATAAATTTGAATCTTATGTTGTTCTAACTTAACAAGTAAAGTATGTTGACTTCATAATTCAATTTAGTGGGTACCTATATTGTGTTTTCCATCCATTTATGGCCATTTGTTTATGTAATAAATCTTTGTTATGTCAGAATACCACTTCGGTTAATATCTGATATACAAAGGTCTGTAAGCTGAAAGGTCAACTGGTCCATCCCTCTCTCTCAGGTGAACCTTTATCTAAAAGGTCCCTTAAATACGAATGCTGAATCCAATATTTGATATTTCTGTGAAAGAAAATTGAAGCTACTTTTGCTATCTTATGGTGTCCGGTTCTTACATTTCCACAATTTCCTTGAGGGCAATGTGATACAGTACAAAAGCTCGGAAGTAAGACTAAAGAGACTGGGTTCTCATCGTCTCATCTGAGCCACAGTACTCAATGTGTAAAATAAGGGTAATAATAACCTTACTTGTGCCAAGGCGTTTTGGGGTTCAAATTGCGTGATAAATATATCAGCACTATAAATGATAAAGATCTAAGTTAATGTAAAGTAGAATTATCATAGGTATTTTTTTCTTTTCAACCCAGGTCATAGAGTTGGTGGGAGTGATTTGGTTTTTTTAAATTTGGTAATGAAATTTTGATACTGGGTTTTAGGTTGGAGCTATTGTTGAAACAAGGACATCTGATGGATCCTTTCAGGAGGCTATTATCAGCAAGTTGACAGATGCTAGTTGGTATACTGTGGGTAAGTAGGTAATTTAACACATGGGATTTAATTTGGGATTGCATACCTCTATTTTGTAAATACGCTGAATTACATTGGCGGAGAAATATGTATTCTTTACTGTCAATTTACTTGATACAGTTGGCTAAAATTTTAATGACACCTGCTGGTAACAAAAATAATTACTTCTTTGGTCACTTGTGGCTATTTCATCCAAGAATGTATTTCTTTTTTAGAATACCTAGATTATTTCTTTTCAAGAAAGTTAAATTATATGGTTATTTTCTTCCATTAGAAAGTTCATATAAATTGGTATTGTAAGTAATCAGACTTTTTTACTTTTCCTGTAATTACAATTAAGATTGTACAGTTGTAATCTTTTATTGTATTGCTGCCTGTTTTACATAAGGGTAATACAGATGTTATCACAGAATTTAAAGACTAAAAAAATTCTGACTAGAGTAGATTCAAGTCTAGATGATCATAGCTTAATTTTTGATTTTTTTGACCTAGTCAAGCCTCTGTAACACCTTTCAGGAAAGATATATATGCTACTAATGTGAATGCATACTTAACATTCTATGCATAAGTTTATACTGGCTTTAAAAAACTTTATTGTTGTGAGTAGCAACAAGTGTCTTAATATATGTAAACTAAAACCTAAATGTAGTAGTTATATAGTTGCTGTCATTATGTTGATGAAAATAGCAATGATTAACATTTCCAAATCTCTTCTCAGTACATTCATACTATACAGTCCTGTGGATAACATCCAATCTTTTGTTTTATACTGAACATCTATACCATTGTTTGGTTTTTACATTTATGTCTTGGTATAAGTGATGTAATCATGGTGTGGTTTCCTTAAGGAAGGAAAAGAAATGATCCTATAGGTTTACTTTTAGTTTACGTGGTTTGTTGGTTTGGGTAAAAATCATTCATCTTCAGGTGATGCTCAAAGCTGTGAACAACATGCTTTGGTTAAAAATTGTACTTCCTGTGTCTTAACTTTGCGGCTGCTATTAGTAGTACCAATTTGTTTTATGTAACTATTTTCTAACTGTTTTTATTCTTGGATCTCATAGAAATTGGTGTTGGTTCACAACAGTGCTGTTATTCTGAACTACATATTTTTAGGAAGCTTGGTTGTGGCCATTGATAGTTGTTAGGGATTTAGAAACCAAGTTTAATATTAACTCTTAGAAATCAAGTAAATATAATTTTAGTATATTAAACCAGTGGTAAAAATTACAGGCATTCATATATGCAAAATTATGCAAGATTATATGATGCATATTCAAATACTAATATTGCCTCCTATTTGGTACTTAATATCAAGGTTGCATTGACAGTACTTGTGAAGTTTTACTGATATAATGCTTATGCTTCTGCAGAAGCGATACTTTTCAGGTTTTCACATTTTGGACTTCTGCACTCCAGAATAGCCGATCTTTATCCTCTGTATGAATGGCATGTTAACATTTCTAAAAGCTAGTTGCTACTGAGCATTCTCTATGGTGATTTTCTATGATGGGTAATTACAGAAGAAATTGTATAATTTTTCTGAAAGAGCTTAGAATCTTAATTGCATGTAATTCGTGTATCAAGCTTTAGTGTACATAAGAATCACTTGATGCTTGTTTTAAAAAATGAGGATTTGAGGACTTCACATCTCTTCAATTTACTAGGTCTGGGGATGGCAACCCAAGAATCTTTCTTTTTATAATTACATTGGGTGAACTTAATGCAGGTAGTACACATTTAGTAAAATAGTCAATACTTGGAGAAACAGAGACTTATTCAGGAGAAAAATTCAAAATATTTAAGTTTTTTGCATCTGCATAATGACAGCAAGTGACCTAAAAAATTTAAGATGTTAAAAAGCACTATTCACTTAAGTATGTTTAATATAGCACTCTGCTATAAGGAATATTTAGGTATTGAAGGATGTAGCCCATATAAAGAATGATTTGAGTATAATGAGCCTAAAAGATGGCAAAATAAAATGTGTCATCTTTCACAGGTCATGAATGTTTTATGTTTTTCTTTAATTGAGTGACTACTGCCTTTTGGGTTTAATTCCTTTTTTTCTGAAAATTTTCTTGATTTCTAATTCCTAGTGAAGTATTATATAAGTAGAATCAGAAAGTTACACAAAATATTAATGCTCTCCATATCATTTTTTTTTATTTTAAATGATCTCAAAATTTGACTATTAAAAACGAAAGAAAAGAGGATACCATACCACTGGTTTGGATCAAATAAGAGTTATGATCATTGGTGATCAAAAATTACCTAATGAGTCTGGTAACAACTTACATAATGTAGGTATTTTTTCTGTGATAGCTGAATGGCCAATTTTGAAAGAGATTACAGATCTAATATAACCTAACTTAAAAATCTAGTAACACCTTGCCCTCTAATGTGGAATAATAAATAGCTCCAGTTTATGGATTTTTTTGTTTCTTTCTTTGAGCCTTGGAAATAGTTGCTCTTCTTATAATAAAACAGTGCTTCCTAGCATAATTTATTTATTTGGCAGTTCTTATTTTTGCATGAAAGACAAGGAATGTGTAATGTATGGAAATGTATCATTACCTTTTAGTCATTCAAAAGGTATCAAAATGAGGATTGGAATTTGTATCTTCATTTGAATGTTGCCATTAACTCCTGGTAAATACAGCTGTCAATAAGACACTCTAAAACTACTCTTCTTTCACCTTTTTGGAATGTAAAAATAACACATTGTACCTGAAAAATAGGAAAATGTAAAGGACAGAATTGTTACTAATTTTAGTAATTTACATATAAAATGCATATACGCACATATGTAATCTATCAAATTTTACACTAAAATCTATTTGATTGTGGGCGCCTGGGTGGGTCAGTTAGTTAAGCATCTGACTCTTGGTTTCAGCTCAGGTCATGATTTCAGGGTCCTGAGATCGAGTTCCTGGTTGGGCTCTGCACTCAGTGCAGAGCCTGCTTGAGATTCTCTCTTCTTCCCCCTTCATGCTCTTGAGTGTGCTCTCTCTCTCTCTCTCTCAAATAAATAAATAAAAACTTAAAAACCCCAAATCTATTTGATTATATATTTTTGTGACAAATGCTTTTTAAGACTCAGGATTTTTTCAGGCCTTGTAATTACTGTTTTGCACGTCAATTGGATCAGATCTCATGGAAGTTCTAGTTAATGGAGTAGAGGAGGTTTAGATTAAACTGGTGAATGGACTGACTTTTGTAGAATGTGCTGCAGGCTTATAAGGCTTTTTAATTTAGTTAGAACCCCTTATGACAAGTTTTTTTATAACCAAAATCGACCACAAACATTTTCAAAACCAGGTGGTTATTCCACTGACAGAAAATCATTAAGAAAAAAAATACTAAGCCAAAAGAAACCTGTGCATTCCTGTGATACACTTCAACCTATTGTTTAGATGGCCTTCCATAAGAATTAGCATTCTCATGATAGTTTATCAATTTCAGTATACATTTGAGTGCTAATTTCTTAAGTTCCTTGATTTCTGAAGTTTTTGACCTTGGCTGCAGAGGGACTTCTGTATCACAGATGATTTTATGTAACAGAACTATTGGTTATACCCAAGGTATGTAATTTTAAAGTTTTTAATTCCATTATGCGAAATATTTTCTTAATATATAAATGTATATATATAAATATACTATTAATTGTAACTGCTACACAGATACAATAATAGCATTTTATTTTTGTAAAGTCAGAATTCTTGACTTTCTCTCCTGTGTTCATCTTATGCCTCTGCTTCATACCTATTTATTACTCATTTTGATCCCCCTTAACAAAACTGTAGCTTTCTGATTCTCAATTTCTTCATAACAGGAGGGTAGTAATTCCTACCTTGCAGAGGCTGTTGTGAGGATTAGTACATGATAGAAGCTTAATAAGTGATAGCTAATTATATCTTTGGAGAGATAAAGTTAATATACTGTTATCTTACTATCCTCCAGCATCTAACGGCGCTATGATTACAGGTAGAGCGTTTGTATTTAGTGGATAGATCCCTGTTGCTTTTGTTTCTTTTAATTTTAACAATTTAGAGTTAGACTTTGTATATTTGTTTACATAGGCATTGTTTTCTCTAGTATGATTAACATTTTTGAAAGAGACTTAGCTTTGTCATTTTTGTCAAATTATGTTTTAGTATTTATATGTAACATAGTAATAGAGATAACACTTTTTAAAAAAAATTTGAGAGCACGAGCGGTGGGGAGGGGCAGAGGGAGAGGGAGAGGCAGACTCCCTGCTGAGCAGGGAGCCCCACTTGGGGCCATCCCAGGACCCCGAGATCATGACCTGAGCCGAAGGCAGACACCTAACTGACTGAGCCACCTAGGTGCCTCCAGAGATACTGCTTTTATACTCTTTTGCACTCAGTGGTCTATTCAGATGCCAGTTTTGGCAAGTATAAAACATTTCATAGATTTATAAATCCTTATAGTCTGACTTTTCCCTCTTGGCATATACAGCATACATCTTGAACTAAAAGGAGCTAAATTTACTATTACTATTTAATTATTTCACTCTTACCAAAATGCCAGAGTCACTCTTCAGTGCCTACAGATTTGGTGTTCTTTAGATGATACTTCTAACGTGAAAGTTATAGAGGAAGCTTTTTATAGATGGAACTTCCTCATGATCTGGATAATTAGGGATGTCATGACTAAAAGGTTCACTGTGTTGTTGGGTATTCTGTCTTTCAGAAAATCTTGAATAGTTATATAGCTTTTCAGACTTGTATGAAGTACTTAAATACACGCCTTTGTATAGTTTTAGGAATTCAAAATAAATTTAAACTGTTTCTCTTTGTTCACTCGAAGTTGTAAGTGTTCCTGTGTAAAACTGTGAAATTGTTATTGGTACCACAATTCCCTTTAGAGTTTTTTTTTTGTTCTTACATTATTTCTACCCATGATAAAGTATGTTGAAGTGTAATGCATTTTTTTCCTTCAAAAATTTGATTTAGGGTGCCTGGGTGGCTCAGTTGGTTAAGTGTCTGCCTTTGGCTCAGGTCATGATCCCAGGGTCCTGGGATGGAGTCCCGCATCAGGCTTCCTGCTCAGCGGGGAGTCTGCTTCTCCCTCTGCCCCTCCCTGCTGCTTGTGCTCAGGCACACTCACTCTCTCACAAAAATAAATAAAATCTTTAAAAAAAAAAACCCGATTTATTTCAAAGTGATTATTTTTAAAAAGCAAGAACTAAAGATATTGTTGAAATTTTTCATCAGAGGGGCGCATGGGTAACTCAGTCAGTTAAATGTCTGCCTTTGGTTCAGGTCATGATCCCAGGACTGGGATCAAGCCCCATGTTGGGTTCCCTGCTCATTGAGGAGCCTGCTTCCCCCTCTTCCTCTGCTCCTGCGTGCTCTCTCTCTCTCAAATAAATAAAATCTTCGAAAAATTTGGAAATTTTTCATCAGAACATTTGATTTGGGGCTGCCATTGATTAATGATGAAACACGGTGGAAAACATTTTGTTGCATAAATTTGATATTATTGACTGGTCTTATAGTCTCATTTTCCTTCCTCATACCTCCACTTAAATGTGTGTGCATATGAGCAATGTGTGTCCATTGTCACCATCTTTCATATTCTAGGCATTAAGGAAAATCAGAACTTTTAAGGTTTTATTCCTTAGTATACTTAGGGCTTTAATACATGAATTATTTTAAGTTTGGTACAATAAATTCATGATCTTGAATTTTTAAAGGAACAGTGGTTTATTTATTAGACTTGACACCATATGAATCATAGTTTTGTTACAAATGTTTAGAGCACTGTTAATCAAGTTGTAGATTAGTAATGTAATTGTTGGAGGATGTTGTGTTTTATGCTGTCATTGTGTCTGTAGGTGGTCATTAATTTCTGCATCGTTGACAGTGTACAACACAGCTCCTTTTGTGGAAGCATTATGGCTCTTTGAATATGTGCTTCAGGAACTTTTCATTTTCTCTGCATTCTCTCTTGCATGTAAGAGAATTTAAACTAGATGTCTTTAGTCTAAGAGAAGAACTGACTGAGGTAGATAAATATTGAAGAAGTTGAGTGCTCTTACCTAAGTTCTTAGCATGAAAAAAATAAGTTTATGATTAAATATTATTAAAGCAAAGTAATGTAGAATTTCCCTTTACGAACACTAACTTAATTCTGTTAGAATGCAAAAACCTCTAGAATTACATTAGGATTAAATCTTAAAGTAATTATTTTTGTGTGTATGTTATTTTCATAAGATATACAAACATTTATTGATGTTTGCATTATAAGTGAGGTAAGGATTCCATCTTTATTTCTTCACAATGCTGGGCAATCAGGTGTCTTCTGAGAGCATTTTCTTTTTAATAAACTTTGTAAATGTTAGATGTTAAAATAAGAGTGCATTTCTGAAAAATTAAACCTATAAAAATAATACAGCTAGTTATATGGAGAATAAAAGTGATAAAATGTTAAATTCCTTTCCCCCATTTCCCTGAAATATTTAAACATAGTTTCCACACAGTATGATTTTTAAAAAATGTAGTAAAAGCTTTTGAGGAAGCTTCCGTGCAATTATGACTAACTTTCTTAAATTAAAAAAAAATTTCATCTTTCTGATGTTTCCTTGTTTCAATGTTTATTTCTAAACTTTTTTTTTAAAGATTTTATTTACTTGAGAGAGAGCGAGTGAGCAAGCAGGAGAGGGAGAGGCAGACCCCCGCTGAGCAGGGAGCCCAATGCCGGGCTGGATCCCAGGACTCTGGGATCGTGACCCGATCTGAAGGCAGATGCTTAACTGAGCCACCCGGGCGCCCTATTTCTAAACTTCTTACATCCTCTAGCAAAAGAAAAAAGTTGAATCTTACGACTTTAGAATTGGGCAGCCAGTACTTCTACTATAGTAAGTTATCATGCAAATAAGTAGAAGAGTCCAATAATCCAAGAAGCATTACCAGAAGGCAAACAGTTCCTGGAAGTTAGAGATACTTCTGATAACTTTTGGGAACAAACCCATAATACTTTTTTTTTTTAAACCAGGTTTTTTGTTTTCTTTTTAAGATTTTATTTATTTATTTGACAGAGAGAGACACAGCTAGAAAGAGAACACAAACAGAGGGAGTGGGAGAGGGAGAAGCAGGCTTCCTGCCGAGCAGGGAGCCCGATGTGCGGCTCGATCCCAGGACCCTGGGATCCTGACCTGAGCCGAAGGCAGATGCTTAACGACTGAGCCACCCAGGCGCCCCATAAACCAGGTTTTTGCTCATTCTAGGATTAAAGATAATTTAATAATCCATGTTTTGACTAGGTTGCTAGTGGTTTCAAGAAGGTGATTCTGTAGTGATAGAAATTGAACAAGTGAATGGAGATACCTAAGCAGTTGGGGGAAGCCATTTAACTTGCGTCTGTTTGGCAGCTACAGAATGAAAAATGTAGTATGTACATTTTAAAAGGTTTTGAATAATAACTAACAAATAATGGTTCTTACAAATATTAAGCAAAGGATAGATAAATAGGAATAAGAGCTTTCTCTGCAGTGAAATTTTTACTTAGTGTGCATAAATTCTCTGGTATCTCTTGCTTATTGTAGTGTTTGATGATGGTGATGAGAGAACACTGAGACGCACTTCACTTTGCCTAAAAGGAGAGAGACATTTTGCTGAGAGTGAGGTAGGGTGCCATGGATGGGCTTTTTTGGTTGAATAACTTCTAACGTCGAGGCAAAATGTGATTTAATTTGTCTGTTGTTTCTTACCTAGACACTTGACCAGCTTCCCTTAACAAATCCAGAGCATTTTGGAACTCCAGTAATTGCGAAGAAGACAAACAGAGGAAGGAGGTCCTCTCTTCCTGTGTGAGTGTTTTTTCATATACAGTAACATTACAATTATTACAACATTAAACAAATGATTTTTCTAGGATGGCTAAAATTGTTCAGGTAACTTTTCCATAGTATCTTTTATCCTTATGTTAGATATTTTACCTTGAGCAGATATCTTTTTTAATTATTCCCATTACTTTGTCCGAGAATTATCACCACAATGCCTTTTTCAAAAAGGCTATTTTTGTCTTGAGTTACTTTGTCAAATTCCTTAATTGATACGTTTTTTCTGTTTTAAGTGAGCATATGTATTTTTTAGCCTTTTTATCTCAAAAATATTTCGAACTTAAAAATGATACATAAACTTCGGGGCTCCCGGGTGGCTCAGCCAGTTGACCGTCTGACTCTTGGTTTCAGCTCAGGTCAGGATCTCAGGGTTGTGAGATTGAGCCCCCTGTTGGGCTCTGCATTCAGCAGAGTGTCTCCTTGAGATTCTCTTCCTATTCGCCTCCCCTCCCTCCATTTACGTACTCTCTCTCTCTTTCACTCTGTCTAAAAATAAATAAATCTTTTAAAAAAAATTATATAATAAACTTTCATATACTCATTATCTAGTTTCACTAATTGTTAATTTTTTTGGCACATTTACTTTATCATTCACTCCATAGGTACCTATTATAATTATTTTTTATTTAATGATAATTTTAATTGGTCACACCATCTGAGAGGATATTGGAAGCATCAGACCTACCTTTAAACACTTTAAGAATAAGGAAATTCTCTTACATAGTCAAAGTATGATTACCAAATTCAGAAAATTTAACATTCATAGAATGCTATTGTCTAATAACATATAATTTGTATTTCAAATTTTGCCAGTTGGCCCAATAATAGCCTTTTATAAGCATCCCCTGAATCCAGGATCCAATCGAAGACCATGCATTACATTTAGTTTATATGGTTCTTACTTTTTTTTAAAGATTTTATTTATTTATTTGAGAGAGAGAGAGCAAGAGGGAGTGAGCACGAGCAGGGGTGAGGGGCAGAGGGAGAGGGAGAAGCAGACTCCTCACCAGGCACAGAGCCTGATGTGGGGCTCGATCCCAGGACACTGAGATTATGACCTGAGCCAAAGGCAGATGCTTAACCAACTGAGCCACCCAGGCATCCCTAGTTTTTATGGTTCTTAAATCTCCTTTTATCTGGAAAAGTTCTTTAGCTTTTTTTGGTCTTTTCATGACCTTGATATTTTGGAAGAGTACGGGCCAGTTTTGTAGGCTTTTCCTCTCTATGGGTTTGTCCGCTTATTTTATTGTCTAGGTAAGTGAACTTAAACCCTCACATGTTTCTTAATGAGATCTTTTCATAACCTGTTAGGAAATTAGAGTTATATTATCTGGCATACATAAAAAGTAGAAGGACGGTCTTTTTTAAAGAAATGTAACTGGCACAGTATGTACTTCATGGTGACATAATTAGGCTTTTCTGTCCCAGCTGGTGGTTGGCATAAGAGCTAAGTCCAAATCCTCATTCATCTAGTGACGTGGACTCAGAGTTACCATGGATAGCTCAGGACTACTTTGGGACTAGGGAAGTATCTATCTCTTCAATTTCAGTAAGAATGAAAAAACTACTACTCTGGAGTAATCCACATTAGAAATCGAATTGTACATGTTAACTTCACACCACTGTGACTGTCTCAACAATGGCTTATGTGAAGATCCTGATAAAGTTATTCTGACTTTTAGTAATGAAGATGAAAAGGAAGAAGAAAGTAGTGAGGAGGAAGATGAAGATAAGCGACGTCTCAATGATGAATTATTAGGAAAAGTCGTAAGTGTGGCATCTACATCTGAGAAGACTGATTGGTATCCTGCCTTGGTAAGTCAGATTTCTTTGCAGAATTAATCAATCATTTAAAATATTTGTTTAAGGGGGTGTCTGGCTGGCTCAGTCGGTAGAGCATGCACCTCTTAATCTCAGGGTTATGAGTTCAAGCCCCACGTTGGGTATGGAGCTTAGTTAAAATTTAAATAAATAAGCGAATGTTTAACATGGATTTTTAAAAAGCATTTAAAATATTTTGAAAGTATTACACAAATTTAATTTGGACTTTATTGCAGAGTTGAGCAATCCTACTCAGGTCCCACATACTTCACTGTCTTTTCTTGTTATTTTCTTTCTTTAATTTTCTACAACCAGTCATTTATTGGGATTTTTCAGCTCTTCAAAATGTGTCCAGTGGTCTCTTTTTATTCCTTTTGCCACTTTACCCTCGATTTATGGTAATTACCTCCAGGTTCCCTTAACTTGATCCCTGAACTTTTTGCTAAATCAGACTGTTTTTCTAGAAGCAATTTTCAATTTTTACAGAGAAATAGTTTTAAAATACTGATTTAATCATGATTGTCCCATTCTCCAAAAAACCCCACAAAACTTTCACTGACTGCCTAATGGATCAATTCTGCATTCTTTAGATGGATATCTGGAGGCCATCCCAGCTCTTAGTTTGTTTCCCATTTTCAGTGTAAGCCCTGTACTCACATTCTTAACTGCTCCCTGTGTCAAACACTTCACTCTTCTAAACATTTACCCTTGCCTTAAATCAATTAGTATTTACTGAGGATATGCAGTGAGTTCAGCTCTAAATTCCTTAGAAGAGAGAGAAGTATGAATCTTGTAACACCTTGCTCTCAAGAATCTTATTATATACATCTAAGAGATTACATAGCAATTAAAGATTATATAGTCCTTTTTTTTGAAGTATGGAGCCTAACGCAGGGCTTGAACTCAGGATCCTAAGATGAAGACCTGAGCTGGGCTTAAGAGTTGGACACTTAACAGACTGAGCCACCCAGGCACCCCTCTATCATCATCATTTTTTTTTAAGATTTTATTTATTTATTTGCCAGAGAGAGAGAGAGCACAAGCAGGGGGAGTGGCAGGCAGAGGGAGAAGCAGGCTCCCTGCTGAGCAAGGAGCCTGATGCGGGACTCAATCCCAGGACCCTGGGATCATGACCTGAGCTGAAGGCAGACGCTTAACTGACTGAGCCACCCAGGCGTCCCACTCTATCATGATTTTTAAAACTTGTTGCAGACACTGGAGTAAAACAGGGAGTATTGGGGAAAGGAAGGGTACACCTAGGCTTTGGAAATGGCAAGTCTGATGGGTTGGTTGGGAAATCTAATCTTTGTTTACTCAGGGAAGGAATGAGAAGAAAGGATGGGCAAGAGAATTATTTCATGTGAGGAATCAATAATACTAAGTAATACCTGTCTCCATTTTCTCCTTTTCCTACTCCTCTCTTCTGAAATGTCTTAAGGTTCAGCTCAAGTCCTACCTTTTTTTTTTTTTTTAAGATTTTATTTATTTATTTGAGAGAGAGAGAATGAGAGATAGAGAGCACGAGAGGGAAGAGGGTCAGAGGGAGAAGCAGACTCCTTGCTGAACAGGGAGCCCGATGTGGGACTCGATCCCGGGACTCCAGGATCATGACCTGAGCCGAAGGCAGTCGCTTAATCAACTGAGCCACCCAGGCGCCCAAGTCCTACCTTTTCTACAGAGTCCCCCCTAACCACTCTAACATAATTATGCCCCTTCTCTGAATTTTATTTTTTGAATTTTGAATTTGGTATCACATATATCTCCCAACAACAGTGTTGGCACAAAACATGTCCCAAATTAGATCCTTTATAGAACCGAGGCCATTTTTTTAAGTTTTTATGTGCATATAAATACATTATTCAGTTGCTATTTATAATAGATTTACTTTACATAAGAAAAGTCTGAAAATCCTTTGAGCCTTTCAGTTGTACAGGCAGACAAGTAAAGGGTTTAGATTCAGAATATTTAGGTCATAATTTGCCAAGAGATTTTTTTTTTTTAATTCCTTCATTTACTCAACAGACTTATTGTTTGCCAGGTGATGTAGAAAATAAAAGATAAGACACCAATCGCACATTTGATAATTTTATAATTTAATGCAGATAATAATTCAAGTAACTACACATACAATAGTATATGTTCAACATTAGGACTTCTTTCCTGAGAGATTACATTTATATAAAGGAGATCCAGAAAGCCTTCATGAAGCTGTTCCTTTTGAACCGATCCTTGATGGATTTAAAGTTAAACAAAGCTTCTCTAGAGGACTTTCTTAGAGGAAACAAGATAAGTAAAAACAGAGAAGCAAGGTGTTTGTTCATGGAACTATTTGCTTTGAGAATCCATTTTGGCTAAATTTTAGACACAAATAAGGGAATCACAGGAAATAAAACTGGGAAGGTAATTTGGATCTACGGCAGAAGGGCGGCCATAATTCTGCATAGAATTTTGCGGAAGAGTAACATTATTTGAGCTGCATATTTTGGAATGTCAGTGAGACAGTAGTATGTTGAATAGATTGTTGGAAAGACTAGAAATGGCAGGAATCAATTTGGAGGCCAATTTAGTGGTTCACGGGTGAGGTAATTAAGCCCTGGGCTGTGTCTACTCATCCTTTAAAACTTAACTTAAGCCTTTGCTGCCATACCTCTTCCTTCCCTGGGTTGAGTTAAGTCTTCTCCTAGATGTTTTCATATCTCCGTACTTACCCTCCATGGTGTTCTTTTTGTGTTAACCTCTCCATTATGCTGTTAGCTCCTTGAGGACAGACACAACTTTATTATTAGTCTAATAATGACCAGCACCCAACAGACAAACATTTACTGCCATCTGACGTTAAGACAGCTGATATGACTGCCAAGAAATTTTAATTATCTGGATATATACTGTTTAATATGATAGCCATGAGTCCTAAGTGACTGTTTACATTTAAATGTGAGAGATGAACCGTGAGAGACTATGGACTCTGAGAAACAAACTGAGGGTTCTAGAGGGGAGGGGGGTGGGGGGATGGGTTAGCCTGGTGATGGGTATTAAGGAGGGCATGTTTTGCATGGAGCACTGGGTGTTATATGCAAACAATGAATCATGGAACACTACATCAAAAACTAATGATGTATTGTACGGTGACTAATATAACAATAAAATAAAATTAAAAAAATAAATGTAACTTAATTAAAATTAAATAGAATTAAATATTCAGTCTCTCAGTTGCACTAGCCACATTTCAAGTGCTTAGCAGCTACAGAACATTTCCGTCATTGCATAAAGTTCTGTGGATGGTGCTAGGTTGTAGCAGAGGGGCTGGTGTTAGGGATGATAATGAGCAGATAAATTTCAGCAGTTTATTGGTAGACTTTAATTTTTTTTAAATATTAAGTGCTATAAAGAATATATAAAGATTAGCTATTTACTAATGTTGACATTTGTTATTTTTAAAAGTTAAGAAATAAAAAGTTCTTACTCAGATTTTCTTTGATTTGTTTTCATTACTAAAAATTGTAATGCTCTGGTAAGAAAGGGAACTTAGGTATTTTAGAACCTACGTGTTTATTTTGAACAAACAGCAGATTTCAAAATAGATCTTGATTGAAGTGTATTTTTAAAACATTATAATATGTCGGGGTACCTGGGTGGCTGTCAGACTCTTGATTTTCTCTCAGGTCATGATCTCAGGGTCCTGAGTTTGAGCCCCAAGTTGGGCTTTGCACTCAGCGTGGAGTCTGCCTGAGATTTTCTCTCTCTCTCTCTCTCTCTTTCCCTCCCCCTCCCTCCCCCTCCCTCTCCCTGTGGCCCTCCCCCGACTCACACACACACACACACACACACACACACACACACACACTCACTCTCTCTCTCTCTCTCTCCTTCTCTAAATAAATAAAATCTTAAAAAAAATTATAATATGTCAAATTTTCATCACGGATCATATGTTTTACTTTTTGGACAATAAATATGTAGCTTAGAATAAATCCTAATTTTTTAAAGTGGTCAAATTGTAATTTATATTGTATTAGCTATTCATTGTATAATCTAATGACTGAATAAATTTAATATCTAGAAAACCATTGTGCTAAATAAAAATTACAAGACAACCTTCTTTTTAAAGTAATTCATTTATAATGGAAATTACTGACAATGAAACTATTTCTTACAAAATATCCACTTGAGAAGTGAGGGGGATCCAGAATTATTCTTTTCAAAAAATATGTTTTTTGAGCAAGGGAGATTAGGAACCAATCTGTTCTTATTTTATATTTCAGGTAGTATCTCCCAGCTGTAATGATGACATCACGGTGAAAAAAGACCAGTGTTTAGTTCGATCATTTCTCGATTCTAAATTGTGAGTCACTTAATAGTGTTACATTGGGAGAAAGAAAATGAAATCACAGTGATAAACTCTTCCACAGTCCAAGCTTTATTTTTAAAAGTCTGATCATTTCATGAACTGAGAAGTCATTACATAATATGCTTTATTGTAATGTAAGTTATTTTTTCTGAAAAATTTTATATAAAAACTGAACAACAGTATGTAAGAATAATATTTAAAAAGTTTTATAAAGCATGGTATTGGTTTTCTCTTCAGTTGTAAAAATTTGGTATTTTTATTATGTATACTGTTTCGTACTATGAACTATGAAATTTACTTTTCATAGAATTAGAATATTACTAAAATAATCATTTTGACTTTTTTTCTGATTAAGTCACATTTTTAGAAACTTTAATCTCAGCTTTGCTTTGTTTCCCAAAAAGGATATAAAAAAGAAAAAATTGTATGTGTTTATGTGTGTGGAGAGAGAGAGATGTAATTCTCTGGACATTTTAATATATCTTACAGTGATAAAAATATTTTAATATTACCTTCTATTAATTTTTTTTACTAAGCTGAATAGTAAATTTAAGAAATAATAAAGATCAAGAAAAATAGACATCGTGTCTTCTATAAGGAAAATATTCTGATCTAAGCTACCCTATACTGTGTGTAGGAAGATTGCATAAACTATTAACAAATGTGAGGCTTTCAGATTAGTGTGTTTTGAGTATGTGAATCTTAAGAATTAAGATACTAGCTTTGCCTATATTACCTCTTGCCCTTTATTAAGGATTAGGACATACATGGTCTTTTTAAAACATAGGCAAAATAATTTTGATTTTGAGGTTTATATTTTTCTATGTGTTAATATTATTTGTGATAATTTTTATCTAATAATGGTTTCCTTTCCCTTTATTCTTCTCTGTAATTAGTTATTCTATAGCAAGAAAGGATATCAAGGAAGTAGATATTCTCAATCTACCTGAATCAGAGCTCTCTGCTAAACCAGGTAAAATAGGAATGAATCAGTCCATTATTTCATAATGTGGCTCTAAATGGTAAATAGTGACTAAACCAAGACTGAATATTCTCCGATGCCATTTTAATTGTTTAGAGTTAATATTTACTTTTATTTGATGGCTATTTTTTTAAAGGCTAGATAAAATATTTTATTTGTAATTTTTAAGTAAGCTTAACTTCCCATGTTTTACCATTAGTATTTTTAACAGTATTTTCTAAAGTAATAATAAACATTAATATAACATTATGACTTAGATATATTGAAGTCTACTGTATTTATAAGAGACAGCTGAGTTTGAGTCCAGATCTTCTGACTCTGAATGTTATTCTATTATTACATGTTGCTAATTCCATAACAACTGTTTATTCTTAGGGCTACAGAAAGCAAGCGTCTTCTTAAAAACTAGAATTGTTCCTGATAATTGGAAAATGGATATAAGTGAAATCCTTGAATCATCCAGTAGTGATGATGAAGATGGTCCAGCTGAAGAAAATGATGAAGAGAAGGAAAAGGAGGCCAAAAAGGAAGAAGAAGAGGTGGTAGGTGAAATTTTATGTTTGTAACATAAAGACATTTTAATATTTTAAAGTAAAAATTACTGCCTTTGTATATTTTCCTTCATTTAGATGTGCTATATTATTTGTTTCTGCCTTTTTCTAGCTCAAATTGATTTCGTGATTTTTTCGGATTCTAACTTAGTGGGTAAATCAGAACTAATTTTTTTAGCATACAAAGAACTTTTCAGGTTAAATAATCAAGTACAAACTTTGCAAACAACCATGGAGAAAAGAAATGTAACTTTTAGGTATATTGCATGTGTTAATTCATTTAAATTGTTACCACGTGGAATAACTAGTATTATCCTATTTTAAAGGTGGGGAAGGTGAAGGTCACAAAGGTTAAGTAACTTTCCCGAGGTTGCACAGCTCAAATGTGGAGAATGGGGATTTGAACCCAGATCTGATCTGTCTGAATTTAGAAACTTTACCTCTTTCAGATATTTTACAGTATCTCAAGAATGGTGGGGATTAAAAAACCTATCCAAACTGAAAGAATATTTCATTTGGCAGTTTTGTAAATCATAGAAAAGAGATTGTTTTTATAAGTGCTAATGGTTTTTTTGGTAATATGTCATTTAGGTTATATATCTATAAATGTAGGAAATTATTTATGGGCTACCACATAATAGCTTATATGAATATTGTTGTCTATTTATTCAGCAAGGTTTTGTCAAGTGGGATAAACTGGTAGTATATTTTTGGTTGTTATGAGGTTAAGAGACCTAGGGGCAGACAAAGAGAATGAGTTTACCAAAAAGAAGACCTATTTGAGCATGAAAAATATTTGCTTGGAAAACGTGGAATGCTTGTTTCTGTTTTACATGTACAAATGTGAATTTATGAAATAAAATGAGTATACTTGTATGTGATGAAGGGTATGTGATATTTCTTTCCTTTTACTTCCCCTGCAGTATTTGGTTTTTTGCACTCTGAAATCAGAATGGCGGTTCATACTTACAGGCTGCCTACAGAGTTGCCATAGTAACGTGCTGTTGGTTTTAAGTGAGCATGCTCGGAAAGACAGGAAGGTTTAGCAGAGGCTTGGCAGGTTGCCAATGGAGGTTTGCCAGATGCTTTGAAATGGGCTGTCTTTCTTTTCCTTTCATGTAATGTCTGATTTTTATGTGGAAGAGAATGTAAGTAGTGCTGTATAACCCTGCGGATGCTATGCCCTAAGAGGGAAAGCAAATATTTGCAAGTCAGACTGAAAAATGTTCAGACACTGTACTGATTAAGTAGAAGGGGAATCTAACCATTTTGCATTTGAAAGAAAATGCAGCATATAGGTAAGATTTTTTTCTAAAATATATTTAGTTACCATTTTGATTGCCAAAAACGGGGTTAAATGAGAATTTTAGGTGTTGATGATGTGGCTAATAATGGTAGGGCTCATAACCAAGCGTAATTGTTTCTTGTAAAAGAGACAGTAGGAGTCTATTTTTAGACTATCAGAGGATGAAGGCTATTTTTCTGAAACATAAGATAGATTTTGAAATGAAAATGATAATGAGACAGTTTGGCAGAATTCAGGATTTAAAGTCTATTAAATGTGATTTTTATATTTTATCTGTATTTATTTAGAGATTATATGTTTTCAGGGTAAATAGGCCACATTTTCAGGGTGTGAACTGTTGCAGTCTGATTTTGCTTTTTTTTTTTTTAAAGAATTAGCGTTAGTTAGGATCTGATATTGCCAAATATTGAAAAAAATTAGTTTATTTTTGCTAATACTTTTAATTGCTGTCCCTTTTAGAATGCATTTTCTTTACTCCCCACCCCCCCAAAAGCAAATCCTGAAATTTTAAACAAAGAGAGGAAAAAGAGCTTTGTAGTAAGGTTGGAAAAGATGGCTATAAAATAGTAAATAGTAAATAGTGTTCTTATTACAGCTATTAATTTCATAAAAATCAGTGTTTTATTCAAGCTGTTAGTAAATGTTAGTTAAAAGGAATGAAGAGCAGAGGCAAGCTCTGTTACCTATTGTTTGCAGGTAATAAGTAAAGAAATTTAAAAATGTAAGGACATTTGTTAAGGGATAGTATCTTCTTAAAATGTGTTACTTAAATTATGAACCTGTTAAAATTAAGTGAAAAATAATGCTTTTCATTTACTGAAAAATAAAAGCAAAATTACAACATTTAGGCACTGAGTTATCTGTTAATCTAAATTATTTTCCAGATGGTCAGTTTCATAGCATATACTTTATTGAATTACTTGACAGGAACTAATTCCTCTTTTTTTCTGGCCATAGAGGTAGATTTCTTGAGTGAGATTTTGGTTGCTTTAGAAAAAAAAAATCAGCTGCATTTCTTGCTCTTGGATTTAAGATTTAGTTGCTGAATCATTCTAATTTGTCTTGAGCAGTAATTTTTAAAAATTTAATGTATTGATAAACTGAAAAACAGTTTAGTCTGTATGTAACAAAGGAAAAAAAAGTCGGTATGGTATAAAATTAATTAAAGTCTGATAAGCAAGGGCCTACCTGGCTTAGTCATTATAGGCCTTTACTACATAGGTGAGGCTAAGCTGTTGTATTACATTGTAGATCATATTCTTCCTGAAACGTAGTAATGCTATGCTTTTCATGAAAATGTAATGTTGCTTTATAATAAAAAAGATCTTTAACATTCTGTAAGCCACTATAACAGTACTTCAGCTTGTCATTTGACGTAAATTTTATGCAGTAGAATCATACAAGTGTTAGATACTTTGCAGTATTAAGGGACAGTGGACATCGTTTTCATATTTGATGCTTTGAGTACCCTAAAATAGCCTAAATAAGACGTGAGATTAATGGCTTTACCACGGAGGAGCATCTTTTTTACTTATTATTTTGAATTCCTAAGCATTTGTAGTTCAGGATTGGAATACAAGAAATATGTTTCATACTGTTACTGGGTAGGAAAAGACTTGAGAGTCTGACAGGAAGTAGGTGCAATCTATATTGATGACTGTAAATTTTAACCTGTTGATAATTATGTTGAAAAAAAGCCCTGGAGAATATTTTTGTAGGTATTATTTAAATGTCTTTTGTTAAGAAAATTTTATAATAGAAAAGATATACTGATTTGAGCTTTGAAATTGAAAAGTCCATGTAAACATAAGTAATGGTGTTTATTCATAAGTTATTCATTTATTCCTTATATTCACTTTGGATGAATGTAGAAAGTTGTCTAAGGATAAAGTGAATAGGTGAAGACATTAAGGGGGATTTGACTAGTTGCATATCCTTTTAGTTTGCCATACGTAGTCTTATGTGTTGGGCCCTTACAAAAATCCCTTCTAATTTCATATTTAGTAATGAAAATAAGAATTTATTGAATTTTTATGAGATGCTTTTTTTTTGTTTAGAAGTACTGACACCCATTTCTCCAATCTTTGAGTTTTCTAGGGATTACTATTGTATCTATTGCCTAGGATTATATTCCACTATTATAAAAATCAAAGTGCTTGTGTTTTTTTATTTATGGAAACTGGAATTTTTTTCTTATGGTTGAATCAAGTGTTATTTGTATTTATGTTGTCTTGTAAAGGCATTTGTTAGTGATCTTGAATCACTTTGGGTATAAACCTATAGTAAATGCTTGATAACTCAGGAAAATTATGCTAAGTCAATAAAATTTAAAGAAAAATTTAAAGGTAATATTAGCATTTTAGGTCTATCTAGTAACTCCAGCTGTCAATCAGGTGTTTCTAAGCAGATTCTATAAAGTCAGTTTTCAATGAATAATTGAGACTTTAACTTGCATTCAAATATAATAACTTATTTGCAAAAGTCTTGAAGTTTGGCCTATTGAACAAGCAAACAAAAGTGTCCTAATGTGTTTAGCAAGACCTTTCTCACAGAATTAGTGTAAGACTAACCAAATTAGGTTCACCTAATCAGATTAATGAGGATTGCATATTTGTACACACAATTACAGCTGCGTTTTTATGTATTTACAAAAAGTCACTTCTCAGATCAAATTATTTCATAGTTGTGGTAGCATGAAAGAGGATTGACTGAATATAAAGCCTTGGATGTGATTGTATCCAAACTACAGCTTGATGATGAAAAGTAGAATGTGTGTACTTTTTCAAGTAGGGGAAAAAATGATTAGTCTCATCAAGTCTGATATAATACAAGAGTCATATAATAATTTGTTATTTAGGCAGATTGTTGTCGAACTGTTTTCTGAAATTATAAAGTGTCTTACCACATAATGAATATATCATGACATCTTATGTGTTCCCTGAAAGTTTCTGTTTCAGTGTATGCAACAGGGAAGAATGATACCACTCTAAATTTTATGACCACCAGCTTTTGCTGGGCCTTCAACACCATTAGTCAGTTCTCAGTTTCTATAATCAAATCACTGTGTCTGCTAACCCTGCCCCACTCCACTCCAACTTGAGAAAAAAACTAGGAATATCAGATTGGGAGCATGCGCTACACTTCACTTGCCTGCTCCCTTTCCTTAAGTACAGTTGATAATATGTTGCTCTCTTCTATATGATGAGTCTCTCAATTTATGCTCTGGATCTCATTCCCTTTTTTCTTATCTTAAACTTTGAACGACTGCTTCTTTCCAGGATCTTTAACCTATTCCGTTCTATTGTTTCTTTCTCATCGGTTTTTAAAAACATGCTTCCATCTCTCCCAACCTTCTGACAACCCCTCTACCTACTGTCCTCTTTCCTCACCCTTATGACCAGATTACTCAGTTACATCCACTGTTCTATTTCCTGACCTCCTGTTCACTCTTAATTCACTGTAGTGTGCCTTGTACTCCCACCACAGCTAAAACAACCAGTGACCTTCAACAAATTTTCTGTACTAAATCCAAAAAATATTTATCATGATCTCATTTGACTCCTTAGCAGTATTCAGCATTTTTGAGATGCCTACCTTCTTCAGTTACCTGACATCCATGACATTACTTTTTATTTCTAGTTTACTTCCTAACTAAATGATATAATGACTCCAAATCTATATGTAC